AACAAAACAAAGACACCCTATGGAATAGGAGAAGATATTTGCACTCTCTGAAACTGATAACAGTCTGATTTTCAAAGATCTGCAAAAAGCTCACAACAAAAACAAGCAAACAATCCAGTCAAAAAATGGGCAGAACTAAAAAGACACTTTTCCAACGTGGAAAGGCAAATGGCCACAGGTATATGGAAAATGCTCATCTCTTATAATCAGGGAAATGCAATCAAAAGTGCAATGAGATACCACCTCACACCAGTGAGAATAGCCCATTTTTAAAAAAATGGCAACAATAAATGCTAGCAAGGATGTGGAGAAAAAGGATCCCTCTTACACTGTTGATGGGAATAAAATGTTCTAACCACTATGGAAAGTTGTGTGGAGAACCATCAAACTACTAAAAAAATGGAGCTACCATATGCCTAAGAATCTACCCAAGGTCACAAAAACATTAATTTAAAAGAAACCTGCATTCCTATACTTAATGTAGCACTATTTATTTACAATAGGTAAGATATGGAAACAACCTAAATGCCCAAAACAGATACCTGGATGAAAAAATCGTGGTATATATACACAATGGAATGCTATACAACAGTAAAAAAAGATGTACTCATGCCATTCACAGCAACATGGATGGAATAGGCAGGGATTATGCTCAGTGAAATAAGCCAGAAGGAAAAAGAAAAATATTGCATGGTTTCATTTATAGAAGAAATATAGGGGAACCAAATAAGGGTTCTGGAAAGATAAATAAAACTAGCAGGCAAACTATAAATTGGAGATATCCAGCAGGTGAAGGGGAGGAAGAGGGATCAAAACAGGGAAGGAAGAGCACAAGGGACTATGGTGATGGTTCATGGGTGTCTTGGTGGTGGCATTTTATGGGGATTACACCAGAAAGGAGAAATCAAGCTTACACAAAAATGGACAATGATATAAAAATTATATAATTAAAAAAATACATTTTACACCTGGTCTAGTACCCACACAAATGTAACTTAAAAATTTATGAAATATACTTACCTTTAAAAAAATGTATCTTCCTGGGCCTCCTTGGTGGTGCAAGGGATTGAGCACAGTGCTGTGAAGCTGTTCACAGCCTCTGTAGCACAAGTTCGATCCCCAGACGGGAGCTACCCACATGGCGCAGCAGACCTCTCCTGACTTGCCCGCTGTTCCCCTCAGCATTGTACTTCGGTCTATGTGCTTGTTCTGTTCCCCACTCTGTCTCTGGTGGATCCTCTCACCTCCCACACCTCTGGCCTGTACTCCAGTTCTCATATGCATAAATAAATTTTTAAAAATAAATGTTTTAAAAATGTATCTTCCTGTAAAATTTCACAAAATAATATTTGCACTTACAATTGAATTCTCTGAAATCACCTATTCTGAACCATTTTAAAAAGTTAATGACTTTTTCCTATTTTGGTATATAACACTATTTTTTTAGAAGTACAGGTTTTCTCCCACTTCAAATATATGCTACTACACCAACACCTACAATCAAACTCAACTACACTCCATTAGAGTCCCTCACCCTTTGCTTTGTTTCCATCCCACCCTCTAGTAACCTTTTTTTGGTTTTGTTTTGTTTTCTATTACATTTTTTTAAAATGTTATCCTTTGCACTATTCAGATCTTATGACTAATGGGTCACGACCTGCAATTTGAAAATCGATGGTCAAAGGAGCAGCAAACATATGAAAGAAATACCGGTATCTGTAATAGGGATATACTGACTAGGGATAGCAGACATCTTAGCCTTGGCTACAACATCTACTGCCCCTATGTATTTGACGGAGTATTACTAACAAAATCTTTTTATAATCTTCTCAAATATTTAATGAGCATATACCACATCTTAAGCACTGATAAATGTATGAATACAGTTACATTCTGGTTGGGAGGGAGAATCATCAAGTAGATAAGTACATGTATAGTGGTCAGATGGTGATAGGTGTGACAGAAGGGGTTTTTTCCAGAACCTTATTTTTCTGGGCATGTTTACATAATACTTTCTTTCCTCTCCCAAGGGAGACACGGATTTTCTTTGGATTTATTAATAACCTCTGTCTGAAGGCTGAGAAGGATGGGGCCAGTAATCAATTCATCTTGCAAGGTAAACTTGGGAAATTTTTGGTCAAGTATTTATCTCATGAATGGTTATTCAGAGGTAATAGGCTTTTATAATTTCTAAATTCTTACACAGTAGTAATAATAAGCTCCCTCAGATCATCTTACAAATGTAAGGAGAGTGAGATTGATTTCACTAAACCAAGATTTTAGTCAGTTTCAGGAATCAGTATCATCTGTTCCTTTTTATTCCCAGGACTGGTGTCAGAGGTCCCAGTTCCTTCCATAAGGAGGACACTTATTGGGTCTCATCCTTTTCCTGTCAGTACTCTGCTGTAGATGACATGAGTTAACCAGTGAAAATCGTGCAGGTATCAAAAGTATGATCACTTCAGATGGGGGTTAGGATCCACCCAGTGGAGATAATAGGTAAAGGGTGGCTAACTTTTTCTGTAAGGAAATAGTGAATATTTCTGACTTTATAGCTATGCAGTTTCTGTTATTACTCTGCCACTGTAACCCTAATGCCACCACAGACAGCAAGTAAAAAAAAATGGCAGGGCTGTGTTCCAATAAAACTTTATTAACCAAAACAAGCAGAAGGCAGACCTCTGCTTGATGTTGATGGCAAGATTACCTCCTGTTGAGAACACTTGGGGGTTGACATTTAATAGGCTAAAAGGATGGCATGGGAGCCGGAAAGGTAAAGTCTTTGAAGAAAGAAGGCCTACAAACAACCAAGAGCCAATTAGCCAAAGGGCAAAGAACATGAAAGAAAGTAGGAAGTACAGAAACTTAGTTTATTAAGTATGAAAATTAAACTTTTGCTTTTCCATCTTTTTTCTTTTTTAAAACATACTATCTAAAATGTTTTTTAAATACTGTTTAAGAAGTCATTTTCTTTAGAATCACAAACTTCTTCCTTGTATCAAAAGTTGTGCCACTATCCTAGTTACTTTTGGATTCACTAAACAGTCCAGCAAGTCATCTGTGGAAATGAATTTTTGACAAGGGCTGATGCACTATTTGAAGAAGTTTGTTCCATAACTGCATCTTCACTTTTGCTCATCATTCGTTGCCTCTTAGTGTGATGTAATTTTCTAGAATGTTCTCCATCTTGGCCAACAAAGTCTTTACCACCACTTTCAAATATGTCTTCTTCTTCTGAAGGTGGTTCTTCAGAACTTGGTATTACAGGAACAAGATCAGGGCCAAAGGGACCTGCTGCCTCCTGTTCTGTTGTTCCCAGGGTTAAGTGGCTACCTGTTTCTTCCACTTCCACGTGGTTGTGCACATTTAATTCTTGCTCTCTCACATACTCTCTACTTGTTCTTGGTGCTTGGATTTCTGACACCTTAGATACTGTGCAATGATCCAAAAAGGCAGAAACAGCTCCATTTAAGTAACGACAATTGACTTCATGAGATGTTTCTTCACCCTAAGAGGGGAGAAATCCTTTAGAATGGTTATACGCACTTATACAAATTAGAAAAATAATGTTGTAGTCAGGGTTGCTTAACCATAGAAAATGAACCGCAGAATGACAACCAGAAGCAGCCTACCTCTGTTGGGTTTAACCAAGCTCTGGTATTGTGGGCATCCTCTGCCGTTTTCAGGGCACACACAAGCATACGGGTGATTGCCTCTTCCACACGGGCCAGGTGGTCCTCTTCCTATGATTGAAAAAAAAAGAACGACATTTTTTTCATTGGTCTATCTCATGGATTAAAACAGAAAGTAGAATCTCTCTTATGTATTCTATTCTCTCATTAATATAAGCTTTTTACAAAAGAAATGTTATTGGCAGACCACATATTTTACGTATTTACTATCAATCTGGTATTTAGAAAACTGTAGGATATTTCATCACCCAAATTCAAGTACATTGCCTATCTATAAGACATAGGCCTTATGAGGTTTTTCTAATCTTTTCCATTCCTTGGCATGTTTAAAGTTTAAAAAGAGGGCCTCTTTGGTGGCGCAAGGGGTTAAGCACCACACTATGAAGCAATCCACAGCCTCTGCAGCATGAGTTTGATCTCTGGCCGGCTAGGGAGAAACCCATAAGGCGAGGCAGACCTCTCCTATCTCGCCAACTGCTCCCCTCAGCAGTGTATTTCAGTCAATTTGCCTGTTCTGTTCCCCACTCTGTCTCTGGTGGATCCTCTCACCTCCCCCGCATCTCTGGCCTGTACCCCAGCTCTTGTATGCATAAATAAATAAATCTTTAAAATAATAAAGTTCAAAAAGAATAGTATCACATACAGAGGAATAATCCATATAGTGTCTGATATAACTATTTGAGGAATGGGAAAAAATATAATTAAGCATGCTTGATCACAAGAGTAAGATGGCTAAACATCTAAACATTTTTTTTTTTTAAGATACAGTGAGTATAAACTATGGCATTAAGGAAAAATTACATTAAAATCAACAACTTTGCACATCAAAAGGCATCATAAAGGAAAAAAACAGACCAGATGTCTTCAACATATGTAATGACAATACATTAATATCCAGAATATCTGCACAAAGACAAACGACCCGATTTTTAAATGGGCAAAAGACATGAAACATTAAAAAAAATTATAATCATACACACAAATAAATGTAAGAAAGATGCTTAACCTCATTATTAATCAATTAAGTACAAATCAAGAAGCTCTGGTTATCTTAACACATCTTAAACACTGATGGTGGAAGGATAAACTCAGAGCCATTTGGAAAACATGCTGGCATTATTTATAAACTTAAGTACTGTATACCCTACAGAGCAGCATTCTACTCCTACATATATATCGTCTCTAGAGAAACATTTGCACATATGTACAAGAATATTCTATTTTTAAAAGCAAAAAACTGAGAACAACCCAATTATCCATCAACAGAACAATGAACTAATAAGCTGTGGTATATTAACATATGAGAATATTACACCACAGCAAAAATGAATGAATAGCTACTTATGACAACATAGACAAATGTTAGAATCATAAAATTAAATTGAAAAAAGCATATCTCTATGATGAGACACCACTTCACATTAGGAAGGCAATAATCAAGATGACAGATTGTGTTGGTGGGGATGTGGAGAGATGGGAATCTTTATATATTGCTGTGAGAATATAAATGGTACTGCTGCTTTTTCAAACAGACTGGCAGTGTCTCTAAGGATTAAACATGTGATGGTTAATTTTATGAATCAACCTGGTTAGGCTATAATGTCCACTTGTTTACTAGTCTCATGTTGCTGTGAAGATATTTTGCAGATGTATTATCAATCAAGTGAATTTAAGTAAAGGAGGTTATCTTCAATAATGTGGTTGGACCTCATCCAATCAGTTGGAAGCCTTCAGAGAAAAAAAATCTATGAAATTCTGCCTTGAGATTGTAACAGAAACCCTGGGTGAGTTTCCTGTCTGCCAACCTGTTTTATAATTTTAGACTCCAGATAGCAACTTCAACTTGTCTCCTTTCCAGCTTACTGGGCTGCCTGATCCAGTAATTCCACAAAATGTCTATGTTAACATTAACAGCATTATTCACAACAGTCAATGGTAGACACAAGCCAAATGTCCATCAACTTAGAGTGGAAAGACAATGTGGTATATCTATACAATGGAATATTTTTCAATCATAAAAAAAAATAAAGTGCTGATACATGTTACTACATGGATGATCTTGAAAACATTATGTGAGTCAAAGACGTCATCCACAAGACCACATATTAAATAATTCCAAAACTGGTAAATCTATAGAGACAGAAAACAGATTAGCAATTGCCTATGGCAGGAAAGTAAAAAGGGGGAGTAACTATTAATAGATATGGGGTTCCTTTTTTATGGCAATGAAAATATCCCAAAATTGATTGGTTGCACAATTCTTTGAGTATACAAAAACTATTATTTGAAATTGGTGATTTTGTATGGTATGGATTCAATCTCATTAAAGATATTATTTTTTAAAGCCTCAGAAAACTACATTAAATATGATTTTATTTTATTAAGCTTAAAATATGTAAAATAGTAAGTTTTTTTAGGGATATGTAAATATGTGATGACTTGTTTAAGCAAGAGAAAGAAGCTTCTGAAGGAGACAGATGGGGGTAGAACGGGAAGGAACACAACACAGATCCAAGTTAAAACTTTCCAGGTTTTAGATTAGGTGGTACGTTCATTGGTATTCATTATATTATTAATCGTATACATCTTACAAATATGTTATATTCTTTTATGAGTATAAATACAATAAAAGACAAAGGAAAAATTATGAGAAGAAAGCTTTTAAAAATCAATATATATTAGACATAAAATATATAAGTAAATGTACATTTATTTATATATATATTTACAAAAAAGACTGACTGGAATTAACTAGAAATGAATACAAATAGATTGCTCTAGGGGATAGGAGGAACTAAGTAGAGGAACAAAGATAAAAGAAGGACTTCTCTGAGTTTACCTTTTAGTACAGCTTTGAAAATTTAAATGTTTTACATATTCAAAATTAACATAAAGAAAAAAGAGCATTTCAAAATAAGGCAATATGGAATGTTGGTTAGAATTAATCACCAAGTTTCACAGAGAGTTTTCTGCATCTTAAGAGCAAAGATTACATTTATTTCTTTAAAAAAATGGTACCAGTTCAATCCATGAGTTTACACTGACAGTGACAGGATCAATGGATTCCACGTAATGCCACCAGTGTCTGGGAACAAAGAGGACCTGAAAACCAGATAAAAAATGATTAGGAAAAGGACATTTCATTTTTCTGTCAGAATCACACCTCATTAAAGCTTCTTGGAGAAAAGGAATATAAATGAATTTTTGGTAATATTAATGTATGAAAGAGAAACAAGAAAAACCCACATTAATTAATCATTTTTTTGATGTAATATTGGTATACAACCTGTGTCTGTTTGGGAGGTATAGGTCCCCATCTATTCAAATTTGTCACTCACTGCCAAAGCACCAATAACCCTCCTTTTGTCTATTGGAACCCCTCCACCTTTTGCTGCCAAACCTGCTCCCTCTATAGTAACCTCAGCTCTGCAGTCAGATTCCAAGAGTCTGGTTTGGTTTGGATTTATCTGTTCCTTTACATTCCACATGAATGTAGTCATTCAGTATTTGTCTTTCTCCTTCTGATTTATTTCACTTACATAATCCCCTCCAGTTCCACCCATATTGTCATAAAAGGCAAGATTTCATCATACGTATTATGTATGATATATATTCATTAAATATACGATACATATATACACATACCACATCTTAATTCACTCATCTGTCGTTGGGCACATAAACTGTCCCTGTAACTCAGCTATCATAAATAGTGCTGCAGTGAACATAGGAATGCATATATATCTTTAGTGTTTTTATATTTTTCAGACAGATACCTAGGACTGACACTGCTCGATCATACAATAAATCTTTAATATTCTGAGGAACCTCCATATGGCTGGACCAGTCTACATTCTCATGAACAGTGTGCCAGCGTTCCTTTTTCTCTTGCCAGAACTTGTTGTTGCTGGTCTTGTTGACATGGGCCATCTTACAGGTGTGAGGTGATGTTTCACTATGGTTTTGATTTGCATTTCCCTGGTAAGTGATAGAGCAGTTTTTCATGTGCTAGTCATCTGTATGTCACTGGAGAGGTGTCTGTTTAGCCCTTCTGCACAATTTTTGATTGGATTGTATTCTTTTTGCTGCGTTGTATGAGTTTTTTGTAGATCCTGGATATATTAGCTTCTTTTCAGATATATGGTGTGCAAATATATTTTCTTATTTAGTAAGGTGTCTTTTTATCTTAGTAATAGTTTCTTTTGCTGTACAGACACTTTTTAGTTTGATGTTGTCTCACTGTGTTTGCTTTTATTTCCTTGCTGTTATATATATATAGTTGAATACCCAAAGAAATCATGAAGCCAATGTTATAAAGTGTTTTGCCTGTTTTTTTTTTAAATGTATTTCATGGCTCCAGGTCTTACAATCAAGCCTTTAATCCACTTTGACTTAATTTCTGTGTATGGTATAAGACAGAAGTCTAGTTTCATTCTTTTTCATGTGGCTATCCAATTTTCCCAATACCATTTGTTGCACAGACTTTCCTTTCTCCATCCTTTGTTTCTGGTTCCTTTGTTGTAAATGAAATGTCCATGTGCGTGTGGGTTTCTTTTTGGGCTTGCAATTCTATGCCATTGGTCTGTGTGTCTCTCTTTATTCCAATATCATAGTGGTTTGACTAAAATAGCTTTTAGCTATAGCATAGTTTGAAACCTGGGAGTGTGATGCTTCCGTTCTTTTTTGGGTGATGGCTGCTTTAGCTATTTGGGGTTTTTTTGTTTCCTACAAATTTCAGTAATGTTTTTCTATTTCCTTGAAGAATGTCATGGAAATTTTGATAGGGATTGCACTGAATCTGTATAATATTTTGGATAAGGCATGGCTAATTCGAATGGAATTATCTTTCCATTTCTCTGTATCTTTTATTTCTTTTAACAATGTCTTGTAGTTATACAGGTCTCTCACCAACTCAGTTACCAAGTTTATTCCTAGGTTCTTAATTCTTTTAGATGTGATTGCAAATGGGATTGTCTTATTGATTTCTTTCTCTTTTAGTCACTATTTGCACATAGACATGCAACACATTTTTGTATTTTGACTTTGTAGATTGCTACTTGACTGCATTAAATTATTGTTTCCAACATATTTCAGTGAAGTCTTTAGGTTTACTATGTATATTATCATGCTATCTGCAAATAGTTATAGTTTTATTTCTTCTCTTCTAAGTTGGATTCCTTTTACTTCTTTCTCTTATCTACTTGCCTTAGGCAGGACTTCCAAAAGTATACTGAATAGTAGTGATGAGAATAAAGTCATTTTTTTTACTGGCAAGTCCTCATGTTCTACAAAACCTTTTCCAACATTTGTAGATATTACCAGCTTTTCCAGCCTCATTTCTCCTTAACCCTGAATCTTCTCTGTCTGCAACAAAATCTTAGGAAAAGATGGTAAAATTCTAGTTTTCTCTCTGTTTTAGCACAAAAAAGTTTATGCACTTTGAGAAAGGGCATAGGACAGAGTTTCTGTCTTCTCACAGACTAAAATCTAGCCAATCCAAAAATAATGGGTAAAAGGTGACATTATATAAATGGTAAATCCAAGAGGTAGCTATTGAGTCCAGAGAACTTTAAAGGTGGGAGAATGGGCATGAGCCATGGGGGTGAAGGGAAAAATGGATGGAGGAAATGTGATTTGAACATGAATAGAAAAGCATTTAGAGGGCCTCCCTGGTGGTGCAAGGGGTTAAGCACCACACTACGAAGCAATCTGCAGCCTCTGCAGCACGAGTTCGATCCCCGGCCAGCCAGAGAGAAACCTACATGGTGCAGCAGACCTATCCTGTCTCGCCCGCTCCTCCCCTCTGCAGTGTATTTCAGTCAGTCTGCCTGTTCTGTTCCCCACTCTGTCTCTGGTGAATCCTCTCACCCCCACACATCTCTGGCCTGTACCCCAGTTCTTGTATGCATAGATGGATAGATCTTTAAAAAAAAAAAAAAAGCATTTAGAGAAAAGAATGAGCACATGGTATGAGGGAGAAATGGCACAGGCAATGTAGGTCAGTTTTACCACTAAAGAAGGAATAATGGAAAATAAGGTGGGAAAATGAGGATATGGCCAGTGCTGGCCCTAAATTCAAATGAAAGAATCTGGATTTTATCCCGTAGGAATTGCATTACAAGTTACTGTGAAAGTTTGAGTAGACAGTGGTTAAAATAGTAACATTGTGGGAGAATCTGGGAAGGATAGGAAATTATTGCAATGGTCCACCTAATAAGTGAAAACAAAATAGGCAGGTAGAATAACAGAAGCAATAGGCAGAGACACTTAGGGCTGCGTTTGTCCAGATTCAGTGTGCTCAGTGTGAAATTTCCTAAAGAAGGTTGGGAACAGATGGCACTTGCTATGTGCAGGGTTAAACTGGAAGATGGAAAGAGCATTCTTTTTAGGAGAACTGAGTGCTGAATTTAGTCCTTAGGAGGTCATGAATGTCTTTCCACAGAACATACTTTCAGTAAACTAGTAAAACAGAGCCCATCAGTTTATGGTAGATTAGGGATGAGCAGACTGCTAGCAAAACTGACACAATAGATAGAACCACTCATTCAAAAGTGGCTATTTAGGGGTCCTCCCTGGTGGCGCAACGGGGTAAGACACATCCCATGAAGCTGTCGGCAGCCTCTGCAGCTCCAGTTCAATCCCCAGCCAGGGAGGAGACCCACATGGCACAGTAGACCTCTCCTGACTCGCCTGCTCCTCCCCTCAGCAGTGTATGTCGGTCAATCTGCCTGTTCTGTTCCCCACTCTGTCTCTGGTGAATCCTCTCACCCTCCACACCTCTGGCCTATACTCCAGTTCTTATATGCATAAATAAAAAAATCTTTTTAAAAAAGTGGCTATTTAAATAGGATTTCACAGCCACTAGAAGGTTATAGAATTATAATGATAATAATAATAAAAGAAAATAACTAGTGTTGGTGAGGATGTGAAAAAAGTTGCTCGTGGGAATGTAAAATGGTACAGTTGCTGTGGAAAAGTTTGTGAATTCCTCAAAAGATTAAACCTAATTACCATATGACCAGCAATTCCACTCTTAGTACCCCAGAAAACTGAAAATGTTCGTAACAAAAACTTTAACATGAATGCGTACAGCAAGCAGCATGGTTTGTAATAGACAAAATGTGGAAATAACCCAAATGCCCATCATCTGATCAACTGACAAATATAAACTCATAGAATGGAATGTATTCAGTCATAAAGGGAATGTAGCACTGATAACATTCTACTGCATGGATGAGCCTTGAACACATGCCATGTGAAAGAAGTCAGCCACGATGGGTGACACATACAATTGTACTTGTGTGAAACATCCAGAGGGGCTAATCTATAAAGAAAACTGCATTATTGTCAGAAGCTGGGGCAGTGAGGGGAATGGAAAATGACTGCAGGAAATTGAGGCCACTTGGTGAAATCAAAGTGTCGGATCTGGAGTACTGGAGTGTGAAGGCCAGTGACAAGGAAGCAACAGAAGGAAAATAGGCAGGGAAGAGGGATAATGGAGGGAATATGAACATCTTTCACATTGTTAATCAAACATTGGGCAGCAAATGCCCATTTTGCAAAGGTGATTCTCTTCACTAGGTAGCAGCACTAAGCACAATATCTTTGGGAATATTTCTGAGGCAGTCTGTTACAAAAGCTACATTTCATCTTGCTTCAAGGCAAATCATTATTCATTCACTTGGCTTCACCTGACCCCCTATCTGGATGAATTCCAATCTTGTATTCATTTATCTAGGTTCTAGCTGAACAGACAGTAATTGTAAAAAAGTGCTCCAGAAGTACTCAGGTATCCATGCTTTGGCACTTTCTCTTAACCTGAATAAAAATGACATTGTGAGCAGTTCTGTTCCTCCACGCTCCATTTGCCAGTTTACCAGTAGGTGGAGCTCTGTTCCTTCCTTCCATTTCCTTTGCAAGACCTGTGAGCAGAGGATTATGTGTCTAAAGCCAGTAGCTGGAGAAACTTCCTCCCAATAGAAAAGCAAGAGGGAGGGGATACCATTCTCATTTGTGTTGGGCTGGGGAAGAACAAGTTATAAGGACTTGAGAGAAGGTTACCTGTCCTGGGTACAGTGTGACAGTATGTCTTCGGGCTTTCCGGAATTGAGGAAAACGTTTTAAATCAGGATTGGCAACATTAACTTTACTGAACACACTGGATTCTTCATAAGGGATTCTAGTTGGGTACAGGAGAGGAGTATCCTGGGGAGGGAAGAGATGCCATCTTTTCCTAATTAAAAAAAGATACAAGTTAATAATTTCAACTTGAGACAAAACAGGTAAGACAGCAGCAGCTAAGTATTCATTTTATTCAATTTCATTCAGTCCTTAAAAGGAGTATGGAGCAATCCCAGTGGCCACCTGTCCCATCTCTCACTCAGTGCTGGAATCTCCTCTGCAGACACCTGGTGGAGGCAGGACAGCAACTAGCAGATTTCATGATGGCCAAGGCAGCCCCTTATCACTGGAACACAATCTAATATGTAACATCTTTCTTATCTCAGAACAATGTCCAAATGGTTCCTATCCCTCATTCCAAAGCTATCCAAAGTAACCTCCACACTCTCATGTTTCCATGAGTTGAAAGAATAGAGAACAAGCACCATTTGCCTGGTCTAAGACCCTCAGGCTCCACCCTGCCTTTCCAGCTTAATCCCTCTGCCTCCAATGCACGAATTCAACTGGACAATTCACAGGGTCCTCTGCCTACCCCAGGCTTTCCCAGGACTGTGTTCATGCTGCTCCCTCTGCCTCTCCCATCTGTGTCTTTTGAACACTTTCCTTTCCTTCAGAGGACAGCTGGGCTGTTCCCTGAAATTTTCCCTGATCTTTCCCACAGGAATGTTACTTCTACTTTTCAGTCCCACGACCCTGTGAAGTTCTGCTCAAGTGTATGTCTATTCTGCCTTATATCACAGTTCTCTGTGAGCTTGTGTACACCCCAACTGCACCCCAACTCTCTTAGAGCAGGAAGGTGTTTTACTCACTTACCTTTTTTGCTAGTGCAGCACACATATCTGTACAGCAGGATACTCAATAGATATTTACAAGTTATTTTTTTTTTACTACAGAGTTAGTAACGAAGTCAGAAAAATGTTTTATTACAGAGTAACAATAAAGCTACATTAATTTTATTTCCTAGAAACAATGTAGGTATCCTGGTAATGTGTATTTAACTAGAATTTCTTTAGCTTGCTTTCCAATTCAGAACACATGGAAAGTGACTACTTAAAATGATACCCTCCCTTACCAAGTTTAAGGTTCAGATAATAAACTCTACCAGGGCAGGACCAATGCATATTTGACTCACTAGTTCATCCACAGTGTATCAAAATGCACTGTAGACAGTCTAGGCTTTTTAGTAAAGACTTAGAGTCAACTCAAAAAAATTAAGGAGTCAACTGCCTTATTCCATCTTGTAGTTTTCAAGGCTCTTTACATATGAATTCGATTCACATGTGATTATTCCCTATTTCTCTTGGCTCCAGTGATTTTTGTGTGTTTCTAAAGAGTCAGGCAGCCTGCAAACAGCCATTTCTGCTTTTCCTTCTGAGCTGCCCTTGTGAGTATCCTAAATGGCCAGGTTAGGTGTTTGGGCATCATTACTTAGGGGAAAATAAGGCTACACATACAACATTTTAATTATATCCTCCAAGTGGCAGAAACATTTACACATAACTCCTGGGATCAGAATCTATCAAAACTACCTGACTTTGCACTTAAAAATAAGCGACCACAGATGGGAGAAAAAAAGTGCAGCGTGTGTACAGCTAGACACAAACTAAAGTCTAGTGAAAGAGGCCACAAATACCATCTAGTCTAGTAATCCTCACACCAGTCTCCCTGCATCTTCCTCAGGGGCCTGAGGATAGTAGCAAAGCCTCCTCCTTTCAACAAATTACTCTGCTCCTATTTACTTAGGTTTGTGGAAAGGGTGTTTCTATTTTTATTTTTTTTAATTTTTTTTAAATTTAAATAATAAATTTTATTTTTATATTCCCCCATACAATTGCAAACGCCCCACTCTGACCCCAATCCCTCCCCTCCCGCCCCCCACCCCCAAAAAGTGTCTCTGGTTCATAGTTTTTTGTTGATTTTGATTTTCACTTTCTTATATTCATTTTCCTGGTCCCTTATTTAAGTTTTCTAGATTCCTGCTATGAGTGAGACCATCCGGTATTTTTCTTTTTCTTTTTGGCTTATTTCGCTGAGCATGATCCCTTCCAGCGCCATCCATGTTGCAGCAAATTGCATGTGTTTATCTTTTTTGAATGCTGAGTAATATTCCATGGTATATATGTACCACATCTTCTTGATCCAGTCATCTATTTTTGGGCATTTGGGCTGTTTCCAAAGCTTAGCTATTGTAAATAGTGCTGCTATAAACATAGGGGTGCAGGTGTTCTTTGGAATTGATGTTTCTGTGTCCTTTGGGTAAATACCTAGGAGTGGAAATGCTGGATCGTATGGAAGCTCTATGTTTAGTAGGTCCAGAAATCTCCACACAGCTCTCCATAGTGGTTGGACCAGTTTGCACTCCCACCAACAGTGCAGAAGAGTTCCTTTTTCTCCACACCCTCGCCAACATTTGTTGTTGCTAGTTTTTTTAATATGTGCCATTCTCACTGGTGTGAGATGGTATCTCATGGTGTTTCTATTTTTAGACAAATACTTGAATGACACAGAATCTTATGTCAAAGAGGTAAGCAGAGAGCTGTCTATCTCAACTGGGAGTAGAATGCTATAGTTTGAGGATCAGTTTTCTGAAGGCAGTAGTGATAATGCTCAGAGACCAACACGGAAACGACCATTTAAACTATTCCCTTCTTAATGCTGTACACCAGATGCCTATGTAACGTTAGGAACCAATGTTACTTCAATACAAAAAATTTAAATAATAAACAAACTGTTCCCCTCACTGAACCAGAGGTTAAGAGATCTCTCTGGTCACGAGGCAGGATGCAGCAGAGGCTAAACCTTGGAGTCCTGCCATCTATCTGATACTCATTTCTCTAGCAGCACATACATTCACACACACACTCTCTCCACCCACCTCAGATACACAAATGTATTACCTTCCTTGTACCTGGAACACTAAATTGCAACCATACGAGTCCAGATGACAAGGTGTATGGGCCCCGAAAGAGCCAATCCACAATGTGCTCTCTTGTCCATTTCTTCCAGGAAACCCGAAATCAGACCATATCACATCCTGTTTCGAAAATAAAATTACAATCCATCAAGAACCAGCCAACCTCACTATAGGGCAGTGCTGCACATTTACACTTGAATTGGTTCCGGGCACTTGCATAACACTCTTAACAGAAAATGCCATAGATGGAGGAGGTTAGATGCTGCTGCAGTTCAAGAAATCCTTTTAGCCAATAACATATCTGAATTAACTCACTAATAGTAGTTATTCAACTAATAGTAGTTATTCAACAAATATTTATCCACTGTCTACAACAACATGGCAGATTCAGAAACTTATGATGAATCAATGAACAAAACAGATAAGAATGCCTATCCAAAATGAAACATATTTTAAAGGTTGGAGATAACAAATAATAGACTTAATTATGCAGATATCTAGGGGAAGGTGGGAACAATGACTACAGTGGAAGTAGAAGTTTTTCAAATAGGACTGTAGCTCAACTCAGGAAGATAGAAGGCCAATACCTTTAAGCAGTACAGATATTTGGGCACATGAGTAACATGAACTTTTTATACTTTCATGACCACATAAAAGAATTCTTTTAGGTTAGTGGAATTATTTAAAACTATAGATGATGAAGCCTTCCTCATTCCTACCAAGTCAGTAACAAGGTGTGGGTGTCAAAGTTTACCTTTTGAAATATTTGTAGACAACTTTTGCTATACTCTCAAAAGTCATGAATTCGTAAGAAAAATGAACTTTAAAACAGACAGCACAGGGCTCTGAACTTGGCTCTCCTTACAGCTGGTTCCACAGATCATGCTCGAGTCAACCACTGAACATAAATACCATCTGCTTCTGTGGTCAAATCCAGCTCTCAGACATACCCTCAGGTGTCTAGGGGTTGCTGCAGCATCTCTTCCTTTCAACAAACTGCTCTGCTATATTTTATTTAGTTTGAAGAGGGGTTCCTGGTTTTTTTTTATTTTTTTTAAAGATTTATTTATTTATGCATACAAGAACTGGGGTACAGGCCAGAGGTGTGGGGGGTGAGAGGATTTACCAGAGACAGAGTAAGGAACAGAACAGGCAGATTGACTGAAATACACTGCTTAGGGGAGCAGCGGGCGAGTAAGTTGAGGTCTGCCACACCATGTGGGTAGCTCCCTGGCCAGGATCCAACTCATGCTGCAGTGGCTGCTGATAGCTTCATAGGTTGCCTCTTACTTAGCCTCTTGCACCACCAGTGAGGCCCAAGGGTTCCTGCTTTTTAAAGTTAGAAAATGATATAGTTTAACTTAAACCCAAGTCCATGGAACTAAAAATATGTAGGTTCTGCTTTCTTAGTGTTTTTAAGCATGAATTTTCCCTATTGAGTTTTAAAATAAAACAAAGACTACTTCTATGTGCAGAACATGATTCTAAATGCTGACACTTCTTTTATAAGTATCTTCAATCTATACTTTCTATTTTTAGAGGCAAACCATTAACAATTGTTTGCAAAGACAAAAGATTCAGGAGAGATATTTAATGGCTGGTTGAAAGAAGCTAAAAAGAGCATTTCATTTTTGTTTTGAGTGATGAAAATAACAGCATATGTACGTGTACTAATGTCTGTCATAAGAAGGGGGAGCTTCTGCAAGGTCAGTGCCACTGTAAATGTATGGGGCTCACGTGCAGTAGCTCCAGGGAGTGGCAAAAGCCATGCCCCTTTGGAAGTAGCCATGAATTCCGTGCAGAGCGCTTACCTCTGTATTCCCGTAGCTAACATAATACCTGGCTAAGAGTCAGTGCTGAAAACACTGGTTGTTCTGGAGGGAAAGTAGAATCTGTTGACTTATTATGGGTATATAGCGCAGGACAAGAACACTCTGGGCATCTATCAAATATCTGGCATGATGCTGGGTATTTGGTACATAAAAATTAATACTACACACACCACCCTTTAAATTTAGTAATAAAGATTATCCATACACAGATCCTGTCACTATGATGTGCCAACTGACAGAACTGGGCAGAGTGTTCTAAGATCCCAGAAGGACACCTCTGAGCCCAAGCAGGGGCTTAGGGAGACTTCCAGTAAACTTGGTCCTGTTGAACAACTCACCACACTTCTAACTGCAATTTACCTAAAGGCAGTATAAAAAAGGTAGGGAGAGATGTGCCCATCTGCCTTAGCTAAGAAGCTGGTTTAAGTGATTCTTAATCTTCTTAGTGAAATACCCCTTTCAAAATCTAACGAATGCCAACACCTGTCTCCTCAGATAAATACACATACTGGATTTCACACATACTTGGGAGGAGGTGATGGGCAAACCCAAGGTGAGAAACTGTTCTAAGAACATTGCTCCAGAAAGAATCACAGTGGGAAGATTTTTTTCTGCAGAGTGTGGGGGTGAATGAATGAGAAACTAACAAGAAGCTTCCTGACTTCTTATTTAACAACAGAAATGACTAAAAAGGAAAAATCATTTTGGAAAGATTACATCAGGGTGAACCAAGCTACCTAAAATTCAGCTGCAAATTGGCTGAGGAAATCAAAGTGTGAAGGGGAATTCAAAGTTTGGGGAAGTGGCAGAGAGTGAGTCAAAGTAAGTTTGTCAGAAAATAGACAGCATTAGTGTTCCTATTTCTTTCCCCCACAGGTCCTGGGAGGTGGGACTTTTACTAACTGAGTTCAGCAACTAATGGATAGTCAAGTGTTTGAGATCAGTGCAGGTTCATCAGAAATATGCCTTGAGTCTGGTCAGAAGCTAGTGACCCTGTTAGGCTACTACCATGGTGACTGATTGAGGTGATCCATCCTATAATCTATTCTCATGAACACTTCAAGAGTTGGAAAAGTCTTCAGAAATCATCCATATCTAGAAAATTCTATTTAGCACCATCCTCAAAAGAGTAACCAAGTGTGTGACTGACAACTTTCTACAAAATCAAAACCTGCTTCTTGGAATTTTCAGAATATCCCAGATATGTTTTCCACAGAAGCAGACAAGTTTATTTTCTCTTCTGTCATGCCCTCACCCTTATCTTTTTTACTGTTTTATACCTGATTCAGTACCATTAACTATTCCTTCCAGTTGCTCTCCTTTCAGCTACCTTCACTTTATCAACAGCCTGCTTAAAGTTTGGCTCCAAGTGTGAATCCCAGACCCAGCCTACATGCAACCTTGTAGGTGGGATTTCCACAGTCAGTGACCAGGACAGAGGTTATTAACATAGTGTTGGATAGTGGTTTGTTTGGTTTTTAAAACACCTGAATTATACCATGGCTAATCTTGGGTTTGCTACCTTTTTCTTAGGAACTGTTGCCAAGACATATCTCTTCAGCATCATTTATTAGTAAGTTCTAGAAAACAGTCTTAGAATAAGTAATTTACATTTATTCTTCTTAAACTGAATCTTGTTAGTTTTTACCTGATATTTTACCATGTTTACAACTACCTCCGTTCATGACTTTCAAATTTCCATTTCCAGCCTTAACATCTAATTATACCTACATTTTCAACTGCAAACAAGTTCTCTATACCTGGTTATTGAATCCTTACAGTGTTCTGATTGTAACATTTTATTTGTATCATCTCATTTAATCCTTATGATATAGTTACACACTTTTCCTATATGTGGAAACTAAGGGACAGTACTGTCCTTTTGTTAGCACTATTAAAAAAAATAGACATCTATTTGGTTGCCACAATGAATGCAAAGTATCATGAGGCAAAGGAGCCACAAATCTGTTATCAGGTTAGAACCTCTTTCATTGGTTCTGGGTCTAGCCACCCATCACCACAAATGCTAACAAAAGGACTTTTTTTAAAATTTTTTAAAAGATTTACTTGCTCCTTTTGAATATCACATATTGCTATATTAATAAAACATAAAGTTCTAGCTATAGACTCAGTTATTATCAAACACATTGATTAACATTTCTTTTAGTATAAGAATACAAGTGATAAATTATCTCAGGTTTTGCCTACCTGAAAATGTTTTAATTTTTTCTTCATTTTTTATTTTATTCTTTAAATATATTTTATGTATTTTTTACATCATTTTTCATTTTTGTACAATGTATGCATTTTCATCTTTGGCAAACAAAAGGGCTTTTGAAGCAGCAAAAAATGAATTAAAAAAATTTAACCAACAGGGTGTGTGAGAAGCTGAGGGAGGGAGAGTGAGAAGTCAAGTGATAGACTGACGGGGCACATGGCACAGAGACAGGGAGAACTGTATCACATCCTACCCCAGCACTTAAAGGACTTAACTAGCAATTCAGCCCTACTTTTTGCCCTCCCCACATTTCAAACCGAAGAGATTCTGTCAGTCCTGATTGTGAGCCTCTTCCTGGAATATATCAGGGAAGTTTATTATCTTCAGTTTACAGACACCGAGGGAAATGGGATGAAAATAATAAGACAAGTATTTTTCAAGATAAGACCAAATGTAGCACAGCTTCAGTAGAGAATGAGTATTAAGAGCAAAATTCATCACTCACTCATAGCTCAAAATTGGCTGGCCAATGAAAGTAAACTTTGCTTATAATGCAAAAGTAGGACTGACACTATATTCTCCTCTTTCCCTATGGATGGTCTAGTGTTCTGAACAGAATACATAAATAATGCCGTAATAATATATGTAAATAACATAAGTAATGATGGTTTTATTTGATGAGTATATAAAGTGATCATATTTTCCAAATGAAAACTCAGGACACATGGGATGACAATGCATTTTTGTGGAGCAAAGAATTAGTCTGGAAGATACTGCTTTAATACCAATATAACAGAATATCTAGGAAGAATATTTTTCCATTGCCTTATTTTCCCTTAAAATTTATTTTAGGGAGGCAAATTTTACATACATTAAAAGCAAGCATTTTAGAGTACAATTCAACATGCTTCAACAAACGTAGGCACCTGTGTACATTACCACAATCAAGATAAAGAATACTTCTGTTTCCCCAAAAGTTGCCTCTTACTCCTGTGCAGTCACTCTGGTTGCCTCCACTCTTAGTCCAAGAAACCACAGATCTACTTTCTGTTATCACAATATTTTGAAAC